TATATCTTCATTAAGAAAATTTTTCACGTAAGCATTCAAATGAGAGATGGCTCCTTCTGTTTCGCTTAAAGAGGAGACAGCATGAATCGCAGGGAGACCGCTGTAATAGAGTAAGATGTTTATACGAATGTGCTGCACAGGGCCGGATGGGCATTGCCTAAACCTTTTTTGCATTTAAAATTATTTTTCACAATAAAAAAGAGACAGCATGGAAACAGGCTCTTTGACGCATGGTCAACCCGGTACAGGTCCCCTCTGCAGGCGTTGCTTCACTAATGCATTCGTGCTGCAGAACGTGAGGGTAATATTATATAGTATTTTACATATTAAATCACTACAGTTAAGCTGAAAATGGTAGAATCATTTGAATACACAGTTAATGACCATATATAAACAATGCGAGATTGTAAAGGCTACAAGATTAAATAAAAAAAGACAGATTAAATTTGAACAGGGAAAGAAGGGTATGGAAAGAAATAGATGTGAATTAGATCTACATTTATTGACAATCGGAAAAATATATATGCAAGAGCACACACACAACGTTAAAACAGATTTTTATATCTTTAAGCGTATTTGCTGCAAGCTAAATAATTTATATGCTTCGTGTTTTTAAATACTCTCAGCTAGTGTCTGTCCTATATTGAAAATCACATGCGCTTTCGAATACACTTTTTAAATGTGTAGCAATTTAGTATTACAGAATGCTATTGATAACCGAGAGTCGCGGACGATTGGTAATCATTCCAGTTTCGTATTATTACGGTCCTTAATAGAGGTCATTTGATTCCGCGTCCTTTCCAGTTAATAATTCAAAGTAAGCCTCCCAATCAGGTCTCTAAAATCTATGCAGTCTGTGACCGGAATTCAATGTCACAATTGCATTTGTTGTTAATTATGCTGTGTCGGGAAAAGCACCCGTTCTTCGCCTGTGTTTTCTTACAGTGTACTTTACAGTCTCTTACGAGTTAAATGCTTGCAAAGCAATGAACAGCAATGAACATTGATGTTTTTGCGCTGTTATGGAACTGGTTATTATCGCATATTAACAAGGAGAGTAGCGGATAGCGTTGTACGAAATAACTTTATAGAGAATAAAACAATCTTTATAATCTGGCTAGCCATAGAAGATTTGTATGGTTAGCAGAAGTAATTTATTACGAGTTGGCGCTTTAAACAGCCCCCAACTTTCCCTTGCGGGAAAATCTGTACTACAATTTTAGAAACTATTTTGTTGTACTTTAGGGTTACTTACGTTGTTCGTCGAATTTTATGGGAATAATAGTTTATTTATTCCCTTATATCTGTTTTTTCATTCCTTCCCTTCTTTCTCCGGTATTCCTTTTCAATCACTTGCCCAACTTATCATCTTTCTTTTCTTCTTTCTTTATTTCTTTCTCCCTCTCCTTCAAGTTAAAGACAACTTAGATTTTCCCCTAATCTAGCAGGAAGCAGCAACAGCATAGGATAATCTGGGGGTTCGCTGCATTCTATTAACAGCAGAAGGTATTATGGCTTTTCCCCGTATCCTAGTAACAGCAGTAGTTGATTTGCTTTGCCCCGTATCCTAGTAATTGTAAAAAAAAGATAAAAAGGTAAAGTTATCTCTGTAACAGGCCATGGAGATCCTTCGGGTTGTGAGACGTTGAGAGTCCAACATTTTCAAGACAATCGGCTCACAGATGGCGGTGAGGTTGTCAGCCTTACCCTCCGTCTGCCATTTACCCCCCCCTCCCCCTAGGAAATATCTTAAGACATTTTGGGTTTTCCTTCATATCATAGCAACAGCAGAAAGTAGTATGGCTATCCCCTGTGTCCTAATAACAGTAGAAGTTGATTTGCTTTTGCCCCGTATCCAAGTAACAGTAGAAGTTGATTTGCTTTCCCCCGTATCCTAATAGTGACATAAGATATTTTGGGTTTTCCTCGCATCATAGCAGCAGCAGAAGGTAGTTCGGGGTTTTACTTTCTTTCGGAGGAAGTCATGGCGAATAGATTGGCTCATGCATTTAACAGAGAAATTAACAATTTTCCTGGGGTGGTCTCCCCAAATGGAAGAAATCTTTTCCATACAAATTTTGTTCTATGCACCGCTTGGGAGAAAGAGAAAAGCGCGAACAGATGAAGACACGGAAACACTGGGTTTGGCGATTATAGTTATTTATACCAGTGGGGGTACTGAAACGATGGTTCAATAATCTAATTCCTCTGGCACTATTACCTGCAGAAGTCTACTTCCACAGTAATATCAACTGACGAGATAGTTTCTATAAACACGACACCCCTCGTTCCATAATTAATGTAGAACACTTAACAACCCTATTGTGTTACTAACACGACAAATCAATATTCTAAGCCCTGTGACATCATTACCTACAAGAGTCTATTATCTGTCGTTTTTTCCAGAGCCACAGCTGAAAAGATAGTTTAAATTAACACGGAAATTTCGTTACTTAATTATTATTACGAATTATTTTTCCCTGTGGGGGTACTAAGACGATGGACCCATAATCTGATGCCTCTGACGTCATTACATGTAAAAGTCTATCATCAAGCATCTAATTCCAGAGCTATATTAACACCAGCTGAGGAGATAGTTTCAATAAACACGACATCCTTCGTTTCGTAATTACTACAGTCCAATTAATTTCCCAGGTCTGTTACTAAGATGATGAATCATTAATCTAAGCCCGCTGACATCATTACGAGCGAGGGTGAAGTGTTTTCGTAGCAAATTTCCACTACAAAACGAAAGATGCGAGCGCGAGGCTTTCGGGCAAGAGCGCGCTAAGTCCACTCCACAATCGCCGGAAGAGCGGAAGACGGACATTTGTGCTGAGAGCAAGAGTGGCACATGTCACAACTCTTAATATAGAATCTATCGCTTAATTTCAGTTCCACAGAAATACCAGCTGACTAGATAGTTTCTATGAACACGACGCCCATTGTTTCATAATTATTGCAGGGCAAGTAACAACCCTATTGTGTTACTAAAACGACGACTCAATATTCTAAGCCCTGTGACATCATTACCTACAAGAGTCTATTATCTGTCATTTTATTCCAGAGCCGTAGCTCAGAAGATAATTTCAATTGATACGGAAACCTTCGTTACATAATTATTATTACTAATACATTACTGTCGTGGTTTAGGGATGATTATAGGTAGCGTGTGGATTTGTGATTAGATTTATTGGCCACTTACAGGTCGTATCTAAAAATAACTACAACACTATCGCTGATTTCCACACTTTACAAATCTCTATACCCTAAGTCTTCCCCGTGGTACAATAGGCCAGAAGTGGCCGGAGTACAAGGGGCTTAGTCCCACCCCACTAGCAATAGAAAAAGTCTTCCCCAGTCTGCAGTGTCTTCACTTGTCGTTGCTTGGTAACAGCTTTCAACAATGGAGATTTTTCAACCTCTGTTGTCACGCCGGTACTCACTGGCTAAAACTGCACAGTAGAGTGGGTCGCCCGAATTAGCTTCCTTCTAACTTTTTTGTACGGACCGAATAGAAAACACCGTTTCGTACAGTAACTATTGTTTCGTGCGTATTCGTTCCTGCGGGAACATATGTACCGATTTTTTTGCCTGGAAACTGCCCTTGTTTATTCTTCTATCTCGCAGTCATTGCATAGCAACGTCTGTACACACTGCAGTATATTGGAAAGTTAACTCACGCTTAAATTAAAAATATAATGTTGTAATCTTCTATTTCAAAAAATCTCTCTGAACGTACCTGCTGTCTCTCGTCCTATCTTTGATGTGATTTCCAGGCAACCATGTAGGTTTATTGCTCATGCACAAAGCGATCGATTTCGCCGATATTTCGTCATTAAGAAACGGTGCGCAGTTTAATGCTTACAGGTTTCTGTCCTCAGAACTCTTTAATTACAATACAAACCGGAACATTTTAATGCATTATGCTATCATCAAGCATGATAAATATTATAAAACGTGT